AGTAAGCCACATTGGGCAATAACCGGGGCTTACTCCCAAGTAAACATGCACAGACTCAGATCTTCCCGTCTTGGAAACCAGTCCCGCTACGTTCGACGAGCTTAAATGGTAAATGTGCCCCTGACCATTAGGTGCAGTCGTGACCGACTCTGGGGTTGTGGCGCTCATCTCGCTTTATTGGCCAAGGGAGCCAGCGTACAGCTTTCGGGTCATGTGGCCAGCATGACTAAGCCACTTCTGGCGAACCAGAGCAGGGCACGGAAACGCCGTTTACCTTCCCGCCGGAGTGGTACCTATTTATCTACTTGCACCCTGACGTGCTTTCGAACTGCTCGGTTGGCAGAAGCAGGGACCGAGCAACGGGAGCTCACCCCGTCACGGGGATTCGAACCGCCGACCTCTTGATCGCCAAGTCCTAGGCTCTGTGGTTTAACCCACAGCACCACCTCTGTCGCTACCTACAAGCAAATGTGGAAACCTAAGGCTACAACTCTCTTGTGTATTTTACCTGGGGGTAATTAATTACAGTGGTACCTCGGGTTACATATGTTTCAGGTTACATACGCTTCAGGTTACAGACTCCGCTAACCCAGAAATAGTACCTCGGGTTAAGAACTTTGCTTCAGGATGAGAAGAGAAATCGTGCTCCGGTGGCGGGGCGGCAGCAGGAGGCCCCATTAGCTAAAGTGGTGCTTCAGGTTAAGAACAGTTTCAGGTTAAGAACGGCCCTCCGGAATGAATTAAGTACTTAACCTGAGGTACCACTGTACTCCATATAACTCTGCGGGACCGGCTTCCGAGTAAACGCGCGCACACGTGGCCAGGCAGTCCCTCTCAGAAGTAAATGCGAGAGTAAAAAGAGAGGCAAAGAAGGGACTGGGAGGAGGGGAGGGGAGATTCCCACACAAAAAAACATCCACTGACACACGTCCACTAGCGGGGCCGGGTTTGTCGCCCTCCGCCCCGGAACAAACTCAAGCCACGCTAGAAGGAAGCAGGGGGAGAGTAAGAAGAGATGCACGTCCGCGCGCGCCGCACCTCGCTTCCGCCGCCTCCTGGCCCCGAAAGACCTTGGCGCCGCCAGCCAACTGCCGTTCCTGTAGCCCCGCAGAGGACTCGCGCCTCTAACAAAGATGCTCTCAGGTGTCTCGCGACGATAACGGCCGCCGCCATGGCAAACACCTGCCCCGCGCTTTCCAGTCAGCCAAGCTCCTCCTGCGCCGGAAACGGTCCCTTCTCAAAGCTCGCCCCGAGAGGCAGAAAGGCTTAAACGTATCTGGGCCTTACGCCGGAAGTAGCCTTGGGAGGCACAACCCTTCTCACTGCAGTTCCGCCCGAATGAAGTTCCGTAGCAACCAACCCGCGCGTCAGCTACGGCCATTGACGCCCGCCCCTTCCTTTATGAGGAGAAATCACGCCAGGAATCATCTCGTCACGTGGCCGACCGCGCTCGCGATGCGGAAAGGAGCTTAAGTGTCTTCGCTTTGTGAACGCCGACAGCCTGTTGAGAGAGAACTGCGCATGCGCTTACGCCAGACAGCAAGCTTGCTTATTTACTTATAGGAGCTGTAGCTACCAGTTACTTAATGGGCCATTTAGACATTGTAGAATGTAGATCCTTATATAGAAACACACGAGGGAGACAGGAGCAAGCTCTGGAAAACAAGAGCAGAAATGCAAAAAAAAAGGGGGGGACGAGGACAGGGGGGAGTTGAACCCCAGAATAGCTCACTGTAGATGCTGACCAAGGGTGGAAGGAAGAAGAGGACAAAGTGAGGTTTGAAGAATCCTGGAACAGGGCCTGAAGCTCCACACAGGAGCATCCCCACACTGCAACATTTTGTTGCAGATCTCACCTATGACAGGGCATGGAGACAAGGGAGAAATAAGCAGAGCTACTGTCTTTTTAATTTTATTATGTCCTATATCCCACAACGTAAAATCATTCGAGTGCTACTTAAAATAGCAGTAAAATTATACCAATAGTCGTACCCTGGTTCTCAAACGTTTGACTTCTGAAAATGTTCGAAAACCGAGGCACAGCTTCAGATTGGCTGCAGGAGTTTCCTGCACTGAATCAGAAGCCGCATCGGACATTCAGCTTCCAAAGAACATTTGCAAACCGGAACATTTCTGGGTTTGCGGCGTTCAGGAGCCAAAACGAAGTACCAAGTACCAAGGCATTCGAGAACCAAGGTACGACTCTAGTCTACAAACTTTAGCCCCAATGAAGCCACTTACTAGTATGTATATTCCACCTTTTCAAGAAGCTTAAGGTACCATTCCCGATTCAGTCCCCCTTTATCCTCATGACAAGCTTATGAGGTACTTGAGGCTGAGATCAGGGCTAACACAAAAGATTTCACCACCACTGCCACTCTTACTCGTCCAGTTCCCCTACTGGCAGTGGTTATAGCTCCTTCACCCGAGTTACTTTGTTTTGTTGCTGCTAGATTGGTGGAGAACAATTGCTGGGAACAGCAAGTGGGGAAAGTGCTATTGCACACAGCTCCTGTTTGGAAGCTTCCCATAGGCATCTGGCTGGCCATTGCGAGAAAGAAATGCTGGACTAATGGGCCATTGGCCTAACCCAGCTTGCTCCTTTTTATGACCCTCTTGAGCCAGGCAGGCAAGATGTAGAGTCCTGTCACTGTTAAACCAGCAGTAGCATACCAAGAAGAAGAAATCTCCTTACAAACAATATGCCTGCTTCAGTCTGCCCAATGGTATGCTCAGTTTTGTATATTGCTTTTGACCAGCCTCTATAGATCAGGTTGCCATGAGCATATACCCCAGGCCTCTGGTAATGGCCCCAGGTTCTCCCAATATTGTGCTGCATTTTGGAGAAGACTAAAACAGAGCTAGATTTGTTGTGCGTATACCATTGTGCTCCAAACCCAGTGTTACTTGAGAGACATCACCACTCCTCTCTAAGGCCAGAGGGGTGCATGCGCCAGGGGAAGTGAAAGTAGGGGAAGGGTGGGTAACTATCACAAATGGCCCCAAGTATGGATCTGTTAGTTACTATAATGCAGGGGTGGTTAACCTACGGTCCTGCATGTGGACTCGCATCAACCCTACCCAACATGGACAATGGTCTGGGATAATGGGAGTTGTAGTCCAACAACAATGAATTACAGTGGTACCTCGGGTTAAGAATGCACCATATTTTTCGCTCTATAAGACGCACCAGACCATAAGACGCGCCTAGTTTTTGGAGGAGGAAAACAAGAAAAAAATACTCTGAATCCCAGAAGCCAGAACAGCAAGAGGGATCGCTGCGCAGCAAAAGCGGCGATCCCTCTCACTGTTCTGGCTTCTGGAATAGCTGCGCAGCCTGCATTTGCTCCATAAGAAGCACAGACATTTCCCCTTTTTAGCAGGGGAAAAGTGAGTCTTATAGAGCAAAAAATACGGTAATTCATTCCGGAGGTCCGTTCTTGACCTGAAACTGTTCTTAACCTGAGGTACAACTTTAGCTAACGGGGCCTCCAGCTACTCTGTTTTAGTCTTCTCCAAAATGCAGCACAATATTGGAGAACCTGTTCTCATCCTGAAGCAAAGTTCTTAACCCAAGGCACTATTTCTGGGTTAGCAGAATCTGTAACCTGAAGCATCTGTAACCTGAGGTACCACTGTACAAGGGTTTACCACATGAATTTGAAATCTAGGTAAGTTCTAAGTCAACTTTTGAAGAACAGTGTCAAATACTTTATATAAGCAGATGATATAGGTTGGTGCACTGCACTGAATGTTATCATAGTTTAAGTATAATGAATCACACCACCTTGAATTGTATCATTTTTGCTATTTTCCATTGCCCTGATACTGTTTTATTAAACAGGACTAACTTCAAGGCAAAAATGGGGGAAAACAGAAATTGTAGATTCTCAAGAATTTGTGCACAGGCGTCTAACCCTATGGCACTAGCAGAGCAAGACTGTAGAGGACTATGGTTATGTACTGTACTTGTGATCCTTCTGTTACCGAAAAATTGGGATATTAGAGTAACAGAAGTAGATGCTTGGTTGGTTTCAGCACAAGACATAAACCTGCCTGACACCTTACTTTTTCAAAAGTTTAGAAAACAAAACGCCCTCTTGCTGTTGTAAATATAATGGTTTATCAATAGCTTCATTTAAAATAGTTTGTTCAAGTGCTTCCACCTTGTGGCTACTGTGAGACTAGCCTATTTTAGGTATGATTAAAAGGTAAAGGACCGATAGGACCAGTCGCCAACAACTCTGGGGTTGCGCGCTCATCTCACTATATAGACCGAGGGAGCTGGCGTTTGTCCGCAGACAGCTTCCAGGTCATGTGGCCAGCATGACTAAGCCGCTTCTGGCGCACCAGAGCAGCGCACAGAAATGCCATTTACCTTTCCGCCAGAAAGTGCATCTACTTGCACTTTGATGTGCTTTCGAACTGCTAGGTTGGCAGGAGCTGGGACCGAACAACGGGAGCTCACCCCATTGTGGGGATTCAAACCACCGACCTTCTGATCGGCAAGCCCTAGGCTCGGTGGTTTAGACCACAGCGCCACCCGCATTTGATTAAGTTCCTTATATTTAAAACAGTGTGTAAGACCTAAATATTTTTGGAGACAGAGTAAGCCTTGTGGGTGGGGGAGAGGTAAGTATAACAACAATCAAGACCCAAAGCTTGACACCCAATTCTCTGCACTTTTTTCTCCAAATCAAATCCTGGAATTCCAGTACTTACTTGGTATATGACCATTCTTTGAAACTGAAAATGGATCCAAACGGAAACTGATGTCTAGACATGACTTTTGAGAATATGACCTAAAACAAATAGGATTTTCAAGTTCTTAAGCACCTTGGGGTACCGCTGCATCCCATCATAATATCTGGGTGCCCAGGGTGCTCGCTCCTCCTACAACCCCATCTAGAAAGGAAGTGGTCTCTCAAATGCATATTTAGAAGCTCTAATTGAAACCTTCATTTGAAAAGGATAACCTTGTTTAAAAGACACAAGCCAACTCAAAGTAGCATCTCACATTTGAGAAGACAATGCTTTTATTTTAACAAGTAATCAAGTATTGAGGCTAAATCTGAAATGCTACAGAACGCTGTCAAATACAGCAAAATTGCTTAATAGGCATTATTTGTGGCAGCTCTGGTGCAGCTATAAAGATGAAGCCTAAGTTGCAATGCACCTTTTAAGAATGTGTTCTAGTTCATTTCAAGCTTTGTGATTAATGTGGCAAAACACTTCTCCTAAATATAACCTTACAGTGTGCCAGAAATCTGTCTAATGCAGGCACATAGTATACATACAAGGTGGGAGTGCATTTAGCTTCTAGGAGGCCAAGTCTTTTTACAAGATCAGCAACAGGTTTTAGTTAAGAGAACATTTTTAAGCATAGAAAGAGTTGACCGTGCTCATTTTTGTATTTCCAGGCTGTGAGATTGCCCACTTTATCTTATTCCAATCTTCCACTGCAGCCAATTCAGAGCCAATTCAATGCATAGCCGACTCTGCATGTTGGTACCATACACTTATTTTATTGATTGACTGAGAGGGGGGGAGTGTTATAAGCAGCAGAAATAACATGGACTTTTAGTCGAATATTCCTCTTCATCAGCTAGCAAGCGGAAGGGAGCAACCATTTTATTTTTATAAGTATGGTGCCTCTAAACCACTCCCTTTGCAGCAGGCTTTCAGCCTATATAATTAATGTTAACAGCCTGCCTCATTTTACATTTTGGAAGTCAACTTCTAATACCCAGGAGAAAACATCATCTCTGCTAGCTGGAACAGTTCAGAGAAGTTTACTATCAGGATTTTTATTTTTTTAGGGAAACCATAAAAATAGTGAATGTTTGTTGGAATCACCCTACTTTCAGTGTCCACTTACCAAGACCACAACACATACACTGATAACTTAACATTGCAATATCAAAGCAAACTTATTCTGCCTGTGGAACCTCTCGCAACAGAACCAATTAAAGGTACACACTTAAAACAACAATGAAGTTTTCAAAGGTTTTGGCAGTGAATTAAGTATGAAGAGACATGGCATGAAGCAACTGCTATTCGTCCCAGCATCCATCATATACAGTGTTGAATCTCCCATTTCTAAACCTTTTGTAAAACCTTAATGATTTCTTTGGACCAGAAATAAATCTTTTTAAATACTCAAAATGCATAAAAATTCCCCATCCCACAGATAACATAGGCAAGAGTGTATTTTACGGTTTCAAAAATACTCTGAACCTATAGAAACGATTTACATTGAACAGCTATAAAGCTAAGTGCTAAACAGAAGGACATCCTGGAAGAGTCTACAGCAGAGGTGTTGTGCTTCAGCATTTGCTTGCAGCATCTGGCAGTGGATAGCACAAGGAAGGCAGGACAATCATTGAGTCTCCTCTTCTGTCTGCTTTGTAGTAGCTTCTGTGGCACTGGCATTGGCAGCAGAGTTCAAGACCTCTCCAAAGTCACCCCCAGCAGGCTTGGTTCCCCCAACCTTATACTGAAGAGAGATTTAGAGACTTCAGATTACACTCTTTAGACGTTAAACTGTAATTATGGTTAACAGCCTATGGCTATATACCAGGGGTCTGCAACCTTTAATACAAAAAGAGCCACTTGGACCCGTTTCCGAAGGGGGAAAAACCTGGGAGCCGCAAAACCATTGCAACATTTAAAACAAATATATCTCCGGAGCCGCGATCTGACAGCAGACAGGAAGGTGACGTCGGGACGGTGCGTGACTAACGCACGCACCGCCCCCATGCGACGTCACAGCCAGTACACCGCCCGTCACAGTGGGGAGTGTCGGGGCGCAAAATGCGCCTCCGCCCCAAAGCCGCAGCAAAGGTGTAAAAGAGCCACATGCGGCTCCAGAGCCGCGGGTTGCAGACCCCTGCTATATACCCAAATATTATTTCTCTCTGTCCAATCCAAGTTTAGACAGCAAAGTAACACAGGTGCTTCCCATAGCTGTCTCACAATTATGAAACTTCCTTCTCCCAATGTCCAAAGCAGAAGCCTGAATACAGAATAGTTTTGTTCTTCATGCAGTAATTAATGGTGCAATTTAAAATCCATTATGTATTTCTACTGGGAACAGTCTCAGTTCTGAGCTTTTGGAAAACAGGTTGATACAACTGAATAAAGTGTGTACACACGAGCATCTTAGCATACAGATTAAGTTTATCCCCAGCAATAGTAGAGGAAACTTTGTAGTAAAATACCAGAGGTAGATAAATGATGTAATCCCCAATTTGACATGCAAGCAACGTGTTAAAACAACCATCTCTGTGCCCTATAGATAAGGTAGAAAGATGGTTATGCCAATTTGCATAATCCTGGTTACAGAAATGCCACACCTGGAGAGACATACTAAAAAAAATCAGGTAAGGTCAGTAGCTAAAACACTGTCCAGTAAGATTTATTTTCTATACTGTCATGAGTTCTTTTGAAAGGCACATAATAATGATGATATTAGGTAAAGGTACCCCTGCCCGTACGGGCCAGTCGTGTCCAACTCTAGGGTTGTGCGCCCATCTCACTTAAGAGGCCGGGGGCCAGTGCTGTCTGGAGACACTTCTGGGTCACGTGGCCAGCGTGACGAAGGTGCTCTGGCGAGCCTGCACCAGCGCAGCACACGGAAACGCCATTTACCTTCCCACTAGAAAGCGGTACCTATTTATCTACTTGCACTTTAGGGGTGCTTTCGAACTGCTAGGTGGGCAGGAGCTGGGACCTAAGGAGGGGAGCTCACCCCGCCGCGGGGATTCAAACCGCCGACCATGCGATCGGCAAGCCCTAGGTTTTACCCACAGCGCCACCCGCGTCCCCCAATGATGATATTAGGGGTGTACAAACTTTTATCTAAATCAGTTATAATTTTAGTAGCCTTCCTTAAGCATATCCTCAGGGTGTAGGTGCACACAAGGCATTGTATAAGCTAATGTCCTAATTCAATGAAAGTTTGACTTCCTGAGAGTTTCAACTGTGCTTCAAATTGGTATATGGGGAGAGAAAGGGGGAAACTAACACTGTCCTCCTAATGCATTTCTCAGGCTGTTTTTACTGAGCACACTTCATTCTGGTCCCCTTAAGAACCAATAACCTGTCCTCTGTTTTCTCTTCCAACAATGCAGAAATTAAACTTCATTTAGTTCCCAACGGTGTGGTACTGCTAGTAGACACCATAGTAGTTAAATGTTCTCCACTGTTCCAAGGAAGCAGAATACCTAGAAGATCAAGTATATTTAGAAATCTCAGCTAATTTTTAAATTTTATTTTAAGAATGAAGTTTGTCATTAGATTTACCTTTAAGTTTTCCACTTTTTCTTCAAAGGACTTGAATGTTGGGGAATTTCTATTCAGGAAAGAAAACAAGAGTTACATTTCTTGTTTGGCCTTAGAAAATGTATATGCAATGGCCAACCACTTAAAAGAAAAACTTGAAGAGCAGAACCGTGCTTTTAAGATGCAGCTATGGTGCCAGTCAGCAGCCTGCAAGATTCCAATTATACAATTCCCTTTTTATATTTAATTATTTTCCAGTCCAATCCTATATGCCAGGGGAGAGAGAACTAGATCTGGCCAGTGGGCCAGATTCTGACACACACACTCCCCCGGGGGCACTTGCCAGACACGTTGGGCTACCCACCTCAATCTTCTGTTGTCAGATTAAACATTTCTCTTTACAGACCAGCTTAACCTCAAACTGGGCTGCAAAGGAAGTTCTGTGCAGCTGATCTTAGTAAGGGCTTCAGTCAGCACCAATCAGTTGAACGCTGGAGTGTAGCCCATCCCACCTTGCATTTGGCACCAAATATATAATACACCAAATGAAAACCCCATTTGCCAAGAAGCCATAGGCAGCACACTTTAAAGCTTCCAATTATTCCTTTGTTTTATTTAGGTTTGTTTCTCCACATACGATACCGCGTGATGTTCTCCACAACTGGTATTTGCAGTTATGCAGAAGCACATAGGTCAAATGAAACTATCTATCTATCTATCTATCTATCTATCTATCTATCTATCTATCTATCATCTCCTTTCCCACCTTCCTTACTCTAACAGAAGTCCACAGAATCAGTGGTGACAACGCAGGGTATGTTCCTGCTTCAATACAAAATGGCATTACTCAAGAACTCCATATGGGGCAAGTCAAATACACCTTTACCCGTTTTAAATATGCATTTGCAGCAATCAATATTATTTGTCCCTGCTTACATTAGAATAGGAACTAAAACTTAATGCAATTACATACATTACCTCATAGCAGGCATGCTAATTGAATGTTGTAGACAACGTATACTACACGGCAGCGTTAAAAGAAAGGAGAATCAGTCAGATTATGAGGAGAGGTGAGCCGTGTCCCTGCCATTTCGTGTAGCAACACATTATCAGAATATTTATCCAACACACTCAAAACAGGCATGCAAATCTGTCACCATGCACCACTAAGAGGCAAGCAGTAGCAACATATAAGCACATCATGCGAGGTTAGTAAACAAACTCCACAGGGTGGTTCTTAAAGTAACTGATCAGATTTAGTCAAGAATGCCAAACTTTACAGATTAATCAGATGAGTGTAAACTTCAGGAGTAAGTACACCCAGAATTTTAAAACCTTAACCTAGGAATATAAACATGATTCAGTATGTTAGTCAATATCAATGTGTTTTCAGAATGGGGCCAATCAGCTTCTGCCAAAAACAACTCCTCTTTTTATATTAGCACTTTATGTTCATGTTCTTTATAGCATATTTATGTTCATCCTCAAAACCATCCTTCAGGATATACCAGGCACCTATTATTTTATCTGTTCACCCAGCCTGGAAAAGTGCAAGGAAGAATCGGATCTGGACTATCAATAACTATACAGTGGATCACAATAGCTTTCAGTATACTAATAATGCTTACTCCTTCAGCAACACAGGAGTAGATAATGCCTTGGGGCAGTCACTACACTGTTATGGTGAGCTGTTACTTTATAGGCCGTTAGATGCTGCCAAGCCTATCCGGATTTAGTGATGCGGTTGTTAAACAAGTCAGTTTTATGACATGTTCCAGATGATCAGGAAGCTAAAACAAAGCTATTGAACGCTATCAGTTCATAACAAGGGACAGGTTTTTCTACAGAAAGCTTTCCATCTTGAGAAAAAGCAAAAATGGTTCTCACTTAAGCTGGTCCGAATGTTTCAATTATGTTCCTATATAAACTATTTCTATATACAGTTTGGGCAACACCAATTAGTCTGCCAACTACACAACCGATACTAGCTACATAGGGTTGAGTCCAACTAAGTCATGATTAACTTCTGAATTGATTTCAGTGGGTCTACTCAAAGAGTATGATTTAGTGGGATACAAACCATGGTTCACACTGTAGGTTGTCTTCTAGCTTGGAGTTTAAGTAACTGGATCATATTTTAAAATCTGATTTTTTTTAGCCTTGTGAAGACTGCTAACAGCTCCTCTGAATGCTTGGGCATAGAGAACCAAAACCCCACCAACCTACATAATAGGAAGTTGGCATTCATACCACCACATATACCCCAAAAGTGAGTCAAGGTGCATGTGTGAACATGCACCTCTAACTCACCACATCATTCCCCCGGGCGCATCAGTGCTTACCCAGGCATAGGCAAACTCAGTCCTCCAGATGTTTCGGGACTACAACTCCCACCATCCCTGACCACTGGTCCTGTTAGCTAGGGATGATGTGAGTTGTAGTCCCGAAACATCTGGAGGGCCGAGTTTGCCTATGCCTGGCTTAACCTCTCATTTTCACCTTTTAACATCTATTCACTTTCTTGCCCTATCATCTTCGTTGCTACTTTCTCTCACACATAAGCTCTTTTCTGTTTTCCTCTTCCTGATTTTCCAGCTGTTCTGCTCTTTGGCGATGAAGCAGCCTCAAGGTTGTCAGGTAGCAGCCCCAGTTCTGTTGCTATCCCTGCATCCCCTTGACCTATATTGCCACAGATCCAATTTCTCTCACAAGTGCTGCACAATCATTGACAACAGAACTGGAAAGAATACAGCACACTTTCCACTTGCTTAGGCATTAAAGACAAGCTATCCTCCTTGAAATGCTTACTGTAGCTACAGCACACCCCAAAGGGCCATAGCTCAGTGGCAGAACATTTCCTTTGCATGCAGAATGTGCCAGCATCAATCCTTGGCACCTCCAAAGTAAGGCTGTGAGAAACCCTGCTTGAAATCCACTGCCGGTCAGTGTAGACCACACTGAACTTGATGGACCAACTGGTTATGATCCAGTATAAAGAAACTTCCAATGTTTCTAAAGGAATCTAGTGCCCAGTGTTGCAAGTGGACAATAGTCAAAACTGCTAAGAATTAAAAGGTAAAATGTTTTTTGGCTATTGTGATCCTGCACAGGGAAGTTCAGCAGACACATCGTTTGCTTTTCATTCTTCCAGTGCCGCCATCCAAAGGAGGATTATCTTGCCTCTATTCTTGTTTGGTGCCCAGGTATCTCACTGTGGAGGCAAAAGAAATTTCCCTCTTCAGATGTTCCACTGGAAGAATGTGTTATGTGCACAGCACTATCCCCTTCTACTTTCCCCAGCAGGTCTGGAACATTCAGTCATATAATAGAAGGCACTAGAGAGGGGGCAGGAAAAATATCTGAGTTTTAGATAAATAAGAAAAGCTATTGCTCATTTCTGTGCTGAAATTCTGCTCCAATAAAGTAGAAGAGTATTATCTGAAAGGGAGAAATTCAATGCCATGCTAGGAAATTGTTCCATCGTGGCAAACATTTCAAGCTTGTCAAACATAATGATCCCCCGGTGTGCTGTTTTAGTGATTCTCCCAATACCCCCTCCCCCCCAAAAAAAAAGTCATTTGGGAGGAGAGGAGAGAAGCTTCACTGCACAAGTGGAAGTCCTTGCACAGGGCTTCCACTAAGGGGACTCATTGGTTGAATCCCACCCACCAGTGTGGTTTGTGCTAGGGGGCAACGAAACTGTTCTCGCTAAGACTCTCTTCCTTAGCACTAACTACAAAGTCAATCTGTTGTTATTTGATCACTGGTAACATTCCCTTGAAACAGGCTATTCAATATGTTTTAAGTGCTCAATCCAGGGGAAGCTTGGTTCATAGGAACTTGCAGAAATTACTCATAGTAAAAAAATTCAAACCAACCTATGTAACTATCAAATAACAAGGTCTAACATTTCTGGTACATCTTGTGATTGAGAGGTGGGAAAACCTGGGGTAGACCTGACCTCTGAGAAACCTGTATTCAGTGTCTATCCCTCTGTTTGGCTCTCAACAGATAAGGCACCTGTCCATGGATGGATGGATGTGGTATCCAGACAGCATCCTTCCACTCACCACAGAAACCCTCTGCTCTTTCCCTGGCTCCCTTCACCTCTTCCATTCCTTATTTAATTGCATTGCTATTGAAATCAACTTCACAGGGCTCTCCCCACCTCCCCTGAATTTCACATATTATATATGGCTTAACAACATTGAAGTGCTCTTCAGAGTTGCCATGTGCTGCCTCCCATGTCCCTTCCACAACTGGGTCTTCTCTGTGGACGACTTCATTGGATATAACCTAGTATTTCTAATAATTTATTAAACACTTTTTTAAAAAAAGTTGTTTTTGTGGTGTGGAAGGAAAACTACTTTAGCCCTCTTCAAGTTACCCAGTATTATGGTCAGTCAGGAGCTATTCACTAGACAACAGAAAGACTACTTGCATGCTCTACAGCAACTTTTCACAATCTTACCTAAAGGAATGTGTAAATGCGTGCACTCTGTAGGACACCAAGCAAACATTTAAAAATAAAGAGAAAGTTCCAGTATAAACACACAGGGATTTTCACAGTAAAAGTAGTGAGCTTGAGGTAGTGCACTTATATGTTAACTGACTACACTCCAGAAGAAAACGTCAGCAACAGAAGTGAAGGGTTCGTTTTCAGCAATGAAATCTAGCTCTGAGATTCAGCAGTTCCAAGGAAATATTGTGCAATTAAATGCAAGTGATTTTAATTCTGAGTGAAGAAATCTGAGTGCAAGCACCCACAAACTGAAATAAGAAAGATGCAAATTTTTGTGTCGTCTACACGAAAAGCTGCCCAGAGTATAGCGAAGAACCCAAACTTGGCTTAGTGCAGGCTCCTAAAGAGGAAATTGCAGCCACTTTGCCCCTACCCAGTCCTTTTTTGCTGCCATGTTGAGCTGCACAGAACTAAGCCAAGCTTAAACACAAGCCCAGATTGGGACACCATGCTAAGCTCCCTGCATATTAGCCATGGGGTGTAGCCAAAAGCAAGCTGGTTACAGCTTGTTTAATGACATGTCCGAGTTCGGGTGACATGCTAAGCCAAACCTTAGTGCAGTGCAACAGCTATAAAAGGGCCAGTGAGGAGCAATGTGACTGCAAACTCTTCAAGGGTCCACACCTTCATACATTCGTGTTCAGTCAAAGTTTGGCTTAACTTGACATGCAAACCAGGTCACTGTGTGGCTGCTGTTATACCATTATGTTTCATCACAAGTTCCCACTACCACTGCTTTAATGAAGAAAAACAATTGGGCCCTTCAACCTCAGAAACAATGCAAATATTTAAATCTTTTAAAAAAATTAAAGCTTCCAGGATATAGAATCCAAAGCTACAGTTCACACATGCTCTGCTAAGGATACCTAGAGATGTTACAACCCAACACAAGCACGTTCCATCCCTCACCCCCAGAAAACCTCACCAACAGTACAAAACATAAACAGAATAAAAGATGAGAAGTTTTGTAAGCCACAATTCTAGGAGGGGAGTTAGTTTTCACAAAAATGCAAGTACTCAGAACATTCTTGATTTATTTCTATATGCCTGGGATTCATGCAGCTCTCACATGCTTGCTTTCAGTAACTTGATGGCTTCTCTCTTTCCCGGTGTACAAGTAACCGAAGAAGAGAGAACATGCAACCCCATTCCAACTGATGTTTTATTCCCTACTGCCTACCCTCCAACATGATTACATCAAGAAAGGAACATCTAGATACAGGACCTCTCCAGATTTAGCACTTATCTTATTAGTGCAGTACCGGCCCAACTATTAGGTAGGTTGAGGTGGCCTGCTTCAGATGGCAAATTGTGGGGTTTCGTTAGAGAGAAGCACAATGCAGCCATAGCTTTGTTAACACTCGGGAAGGAAATGCAATTTGCAGTCTCAGGCACCTAAATATCTTGGGAAGTGCACTGAATAGGAGAAACCTAATCAAGGCACATTGGAAAGATGTAAGTCTCAATGTGGATCACTATTGCTCCATTCAATGGACTGGGGACCAGTTCACATGTAAGTGGCACAGTCCCCACCCACCCTTTAAAAAAATAGAATGCCATTAGCACAAGGCCAGAGGTGGTAGTTCCCTGCTTGTTCATGTCAAAATAAATAGCTTAGTTATAGAATCAATCTGTCAGTTCCCAGCTGCAAGTCATTAACTCTGCACTCCTGGAAGGGTTTGCAATTTTGTGTTTGGCACTGTTGAAACCCTATGCAGTGTAAACAGATACTACTACAGGCGAGGGGAAAATTAAAGTCATACTTCACATCTTCCAACTTCTTTGTTATTGCAGAGCCAACTGTTGAGAATGCAGCAGAAGCTTTCTGCCCAGCTTGAGACAGTGTTTCTGATGTCTTCTTATACCTAGATTTAAAAAAAAAAAGTCAACCTATTATCACAATTCTCAAACACCTGCACCACAAGTGTTGGAACAGGGATACACATTACTTCGCTCCTAGTGCACTTGAAATTAAGAAGTCATGCATTGCTAGTAAGGCAGCTTATATAAGCTTCTTCAACCCTTAGCATTTCCAGTGAACACTAGCTTCGGTACATCAAATTTATCTGAAAAGTTAGCTTTTGTATCCTGCGTCCCTTTCCTCTATCAAAATGAGAGAAACTGGGTTTAGAACTCGTGTGTGTGTGTGTGTGTATAAAAGTGGCATAACAAGTCACAACAAGGCATCTATAGGAGAGCACATGGTACAACTGATTTGGTTTAAAATGGAAAAGGTTTGCCAATAACACATCTCTTTCGCAACATACATGGCAAAATATTTGCTCCACGATACAATTTGTGTGGTAAGAAAACAGTTGGGAGAGTTGCCTCATCCTCCTATCAGACTTAACCAGAAAAAGTTCTAGAAAACTGCAAGACATCCAGGTTCTTTTGTCTGAGATGATGGTGCCAAAATGCCATATTGAGTCTTTTACACACAGTTGGCATTAGGTGTTTTCAGCAACTGTAGCTGACCAGAAAGAATGAACCATCTGGCCACATGTTCAACACATGTGCTTAAGAGCAGGGACAGGAAGCTGTGGTCCTGCAGATGTTACTTAAGTTCAGCCCTGCTAGACCAACTGTATATAGCCCAGCATTCTGTTCCCACAGTGGACAATGAGGATGATAAATTGATGTAATGTTGAGATGTGTGTGTGTTTGTGGTGTAGAAATGAAGAAAGTATGTATCTGATTCCATCATTTGCTTCCCATAAAATACATTGGAAGTGTTTTCACAATGAAAACATCTATGTTCAAAAACAATTGCAATGGCATTCTCACACCACGACCTCCCAGACAACCAAAAAAAAACAAAACACTGCCTCCAATATATGTGTGTCGAACTACAGCTTAACCCTGACCAATGGTCATGCTGCCAGGGATTGATGTTAAACAACATTGGAAGAGCCAGATGCTTAATGGTATGACAATTTTAACCAACCCTAGAAAGAAGCTACCTTCTGCTTTGACTAAACCTTGCCAAGACATTAAGGACCACTTCGCAAAGTTTTCCTAGCTCAGACTTCATGCAAAGTGTCTGAATACTCTCCCACCACCAAAGAGAATCCAGGTGTACAGAAAACTAACATTTCAGGAAGAATGGTATCCTCTGAATGGTCCTGCTAAAACCCTCGCTACAAACATGTAACCTGCCATCACTAGATCCTGAAGCAAAGGCTTCCTCTGAGAAAGCCCACCAAATTCAGCTGACGAGGAAACTCAAGCCCATCCCTTGCATTCAGGCAAAATAATTTAAGTGAAGAAACATACGCATTTGTTGCTGTGACATCTTGCCACCCTTTGGAAAGGTTCTGCCTCAGCTCCTGCAGTGAACTGATCCCCAGTTTTCTCTTTATTTCTGCTAGATGCTTCTCTTTAGCAGCTAGTACCTGTGACAAAGTCTGGATTTCTTCTTCCACCTACAAGATAAGAGCCCATGAAGAAAATCAACTAGGGAAGCATAAGCTACTGAGGAATTATTTTAGAGCAGATGTTTTGACATTTACTACCAACATTTCCTTGTTTGGAACAAATTACACTTGCATCCTTTAAGGGTTTAAATATATGTTAATTATAGGTTTCAGTTTGAGACAAAACACCAACCGATTCTGATTCAGTAATCAACTAACAGAGCCCCAATTCAGTTGCATGGGTAATTTTCACATCTACTTATTAATGAACTTATTGGTTGCTTTTGGTTATTGGTTGCTTTTCCCCCACAAAAGCAACCCAAAGCAACTTACAATTAAAATAACATTCACATTAAAAACAGCATAAACCAAAACAGAAAAATCTAAAACTTGTAATGGATTGAAGGCAATATAATTCCCTCTGTTCCCAATGTTCAGGCTGCAAGATAATCAGGGTTGTTGGTTTTTTGTTGGGGTTTTTTAACAGAACTACAGAAAGCCCTCAGGCAAAAAAAACAAACCCCTAAGCAACGGTGAACCCCACAAACAGTTTGGTGATGACAGAATGCTCGGTGGCCATGTTGATTTGGGGCGGGGTAATGGAAAAGAATGGTTGAGTTCCTGAACAGCATCGCTCCACAGTACAATGTTTTGTTTCAGGTCCCACTGTCACAGAACGAAGAGCAAGAAACTGAAAAGCTTTGAAGGCACAATCAGAGCAAAGTGAGTGCTACATCTGCAATGTCTTTCAAGTGTTCTTACTCTAAACCAAAGCCTTCTGTATTTGCAATTCCTAATGCCAACTTCTGCTTCAGCTCTTTTTTTTAATTCTGTAAGGCAGCAGAGCTGACCGAAGCAAGTGTGGCAACAGGTAACCAGGAACTACTTTTGCTTGCAAAATAATATACTGATCAATATGTGTAAATTAAAATGGATGCACTGATATTTAAATGTATTGTTAATGTAAGCCAGTTGGAGGTCCTTCTTGTGTTTTTCTGTTTGTTTTGTTTTCCCTTTAATGAATTTGCAATTGTTAAAACCCCCAAATATACGAAGCAAACCAATCAGCTGGACCTTTCTTGCATACAGAGGTAGCTTAAGCCATAAATCAAGGTTATACATATTGTACTTTTCTTCCAGCAAACACAGAGCTGCTTTACATGGACCTTCCACTGAGACCAAGACACAATTAACTACAGAACAGCACCACACAGGCCATTCACTGTGTCCATTATAAGAACAAATTATTTTCCAACAGCACTATCAGAAAGACAGCCTCATAACTCCATATTAAATGCAACTGTGGCTCACACATGTGAATCAGATCAGTTTTGAGGGCCACACATAACAGGTTTACCTTAGCAAGCTCTCTTCTAAGTTCTTCCTGTTCTTCTTCTGACAAAGCCTCTGCAACATTAACTGAAGCAGCAGCATCTTCTCCAACTTCAGGAATTACTTCATTTTTCAGCAGACCTTTAAAAAAGAAAAGAAAAACCCCTCAGATTTGTCATTTGGGATCACTACTTTAAGACTGCTTTGTTGTCAAACATTCGTCATCAAGGTTGGGGTGTGTGAAAAGCAAGAGTGGGGGTTTCCCACCGCTGCAATGGTGCAGGGATGGTGAACTTGCAGCTCCTCACATATTGGACTGCATCATCCTCAACATTTCGGCTGTGCTGAAGGGTCACAGGTTTCCCATGCCCCTGATAAGAGGACTGTCTGATTTATCTTGCTGTAAGGAGCGTTTCAATGAATGGATGCATGACAACAGACGGTATTTGACAGTGAATACAGAGTTCAATAGAGGCAGAAGCAAAAACTACATTTGCAACACTGAGCTGCTTTATCAGGGTTTTGTTATTTTAAGATCAGAATTAACTGCTACTCAGATTTCAGTAGCATGGCCTCATCCAACCTCTTAAAACCTTCTATCCTTACTACTTCTGTGTGATCCAAGATTTCCCCATTTCACACCTTCCCTTTCACATCATATTCATACCCTCATGGTATCTTCATCTTCTGCAGATACTGGGCGAGGGTTTTATAGATCATATGGACATTGCAGAAATGACAACCAAAGACGCTGGTTTACGTGAATCTGATTCCTGAAGCTTGGAAATCTGAAACTTGCAAATCTGTGTGCCAAACAAATACTGTAGAGGGTATACCATTCAACACTGGCCTGTTCTGGAAGTCCAAAGTTGTTCCCGATGCCCAGAAGGCATCCCAGAGGACAACCAACACTCCTATGCAGCTGCACAGTAAGTTCAGTAATGGTGGGAAAGCTATTTTGCATTACCAGTCTTCTCAAGGACATAACTGCCTCCGATATGGTTCCCTGGAACAGTCTGAAAATCAGAGGTTGGTGCTAAAGACCGATGTAGTAAATAACACCAATACAATCTTGCCATTCCACATACCAAAGAGAATGTTCTTTTTCCAATAGCAAATGGAAGGATTTCCTGCAAAGCTCCCTTCAGATTACTATCAAGAATCTTAAGCAGAAGGCAGTAAACCAATTGAGAATTATTCTGCATTACAGGAACATAAAAATCATTTATGCAAAACCTATCCTCAAAGGGTGGCAAATAGTGTTTTAAGTTTTCATGAGCCAGCAAGCAACTGAATTAAAACATTCCGCCAAACGCCTCTAGTTCTCTGCAGTAAGTGCATTCTGGTTTAATTTTTTATACGAGTAGATTATTCTAGTTATATTTTTAGCTGTGCTGTGACTTTATTGGGGATATCCATCCAGGAATGTGCCATCTTGCATCCCCCAGAAGGATGGTGGGCAAAAGGGTTTTTGGTTCTTGTGCCGCACAACTCTCCTGGCTGCCTCCCAGTCACGCTGCAGGGAAGTTGTCTCAGGATGCACAGAATGACAGCTGAACACATCAGCAGAAGAGAGTCAGTGCGGTGTTGCAGTTGGAGCGTTAAGATTGGGATCTGGGAAAACTAGGGCTCAAATCCAAGTCAGCCATGAAGCTCAATGGGTAACCCTGGGCCGGTCACTTCCTTTCACAGAGAATGGAGTGGGAAAGAGTTAGATTTGCTTCTCTTCCACAATCAAGAGTATTGCTAGAAGTACTGGAAGGACACTGGTAATCGGTAAACAAGTTTATGTGGAATCCTACCCACTTAGCTAAGCATGCATTGCTACTAAAGCCATTTAGGATCCTACCAGGCCAAGAAGCATTTCAGATATATTCTTACATAGATCTCATTACCATAGAGGAAATTGCACAGAGGTCATTTCCATCATGTGTATTCATGGTAGAAAGCACCAATATTCACAGCAAGAACCCGCTTTTCATAGGATGTGTATAGTAGTCATGGGGTACATAATAACCCATCACTCTGCTGGAAGATTGCTGTGCAGAGCGTGTCTATGTGCAGATTCCAAATTCAGTTTTATCTAACTAAGTTTCAATCTTATTTAAATACTGTAATCAGTTTTAAAAGTATGCCAAGGCCCAATTTTAAGAAAATTGTCGTAGTGGCAAGTATCTGGCTTTGCCAAATAACTTAGTAAGTTAGCTATGGCCTGCAAGCATGAAATAGTATTAAAAGTTTGGTGCCTTAGGCATCAAACCATCTCTACAGAACCAGAAATTCTAGTCTGTCAAAACCTAGCTTGTGATGTCTAAGGAAGTCTTTCAAGTTTGTAAATTCATTTCTCAACACACACACACACACACACACACACACCTTTAATTTTTTGCAAAAAGATTTGCTGAAATCTGAGCATTATTCATTCTTTTCTGAGCATAATAAAAGGTGGTAGGGTAAAAATATGCCAAACTATGTTCAAATTTGACAGAACTAATTTTATTCTAAGTTGTTTGGAATAGTTTCTAGCAGTTATGTTGAATATATATATATAAAATCACTTTGAAATTCACTCCCAAAATCTTTCCCAAACTAGTGCCCTCCCAGATGTTTTGGACAACAATTGGCTGGGACCGATGGGAGTTGGATTCCAACATCATCTGAAGGACATCAGGGTAAGGAAGGCTGTGCTATAGTTACCTAAATCAGTATTCTATGAGCACTTGGGAAACACACACTTTTTTTCCAAGATCAAGCACAAAGGAGAAGTTCAAGTGAGCTCTGAACCAAGAACCAGAAGAACATTTAACTGGTTGTGTGGCATCATAATGGTTAGAGTGTGTTGGACTATGACCTGGGAGACCAGGGTTCGAATTCTCACCCAGCCATGACGCTCATTGGGTGACCCTGGACCAGAGAAACAACAGAAAGCTTACAGCTTCTGCATAAGTCCTTGTTGTCAGATGAATGTGAAAGCTTGTTTTGGTACTGGATGCTAACACAACATTCCCCATTCTCTCAAATCATTCTCTATGCCTGATAGTGTTTAAGGCAGCTCTGAGGCAAAGTTCCACTAACATTTAATTACCTATTATTCAAATCAGGCTTTCAGTTGCTTCCATATTATTGAGTGCATCCCTATTTCTTCATTCATTCAATCAATCTAACATGCTATGTTTTGTTCGCTTCTAGGAACCCTGTTATGATCACTTCCATTCCAGCAGAAAACCACAGAGCACATAACAACAAACACCTTAGGCTATAACTTTCAGAAAGCATACTGAGCTATGATCTGCTTTTATAGTATGGATTCTCTTAAGAAGATTGTAGATATAAAAACAGTTACCAGAATCCTTCAACACAGGAGATCCAGGAGGAGAAAAAGCCATGCTGGGCGATAGGTAGAGATAATTTCTATTAACTCCAGTATCAAAATCAAAAGGAGATTTGTAATCCTCATATAAATCCATATCCAGCCAGTCCATCACAGAGATCTCAGCATGCATGGGGGCCATTCATGTCGCTCCTGCATCCAGTCTTCTCCTCGCCTTTTCTTTGCACAAGTCATTTGACTTGTTAAAATCCGAGGCACCGATTTAAAGATGCTAGGCACTCACACCGTGTACCAGGTTTCCACTGGAGAATCGTAAGCAATTGATATAATTGTGAGGTTTAGGATACCAACTTAAAAAGCAATGGCTCGGGTACTCCTTAACTGCAGTAGTTTGTGCAGCTGATGGTTAAGGCTACAACTTTTCAGTAAGCCTAAATCCACTCTACGCAACAAGGCATTTTCAGGAAACTGAATTGCCATGGGCTCGGGGAAGTCTCAGTCCTGTGCAGGATTACACCAGAGTTTTCAGTCTTTTTTTTTAAAGCATCAGCTGACTGCTGTTGCACCAGGATATTCTTAATCTTCTAGGGCACAAAAGGATTACCAGCCATAATCTATCCTATAAGCCATCTGTGTAGGACTTTATGCCTGATTAATGGAATAGATTTTTCTTCTCCAGTGTGTAGCTTGCCAGCCCTGTGTGTCTTTGTATATATAGTAGACAGCTCTAGTCAAATTTCCTAGTGGCAGGGGGTGGATCTGTGTTTGTTGCTTGCACACAGCAGGTTTCTACGAGTGAAGTGCCTCTTTGTCAGACTGCAACAATCCCTTTTCTTACTTCCAGCTTCATCACGTTGCTGCTGTGCATTCTACACTATCAACTGCAGAGATATGTCAGTCAACTGATTTCACCTCAGATGAAGGTCCTGGCGTGTAATGTAGTCTTTGTCAAGCTCTGCTGAACTCAGAAGTGGTATGGGATATGTGGCTCCCCATCATTCAGGAAAGTGCAACAGCAAGCATAATTGGTTACAAAGGAAGAAACAAGATGCTAACTGTCATCCTTAGAAAGGATCCATTTAAGAAAATCGGGGAGAAAATGAGTAATGAATACAGGCACAGAATTGCAAGCGGACAGTAGATGCACTAACTGGATGCCGAACTAAATTGACTGTGTAGGATACGGAAACAAGACACATTTTTCAGGGTTTGGTCCAAAAATTAAGTGGTGGTGATTATTTTGGAGGGGAACATAGGAAGCTGCCTTATACCAAATCAAACTATTGTTCCATCTAGGTCAATACTGTCGACACTGACAGGTAGCAGCTCTCCCGAGTTTCAGGTAGAGTGTCAGTCCCACCTGAAGTTGCTGAGTACTAAATCTGGGACCTTCTGCACGCAAGGCTCTACAACTGCACTGCAGGCCTCTTCCCCCGTCCCCAAAATAAAGCCCTTGCACAAAAAGCTGGCTTATTTATTATTTATTTATTTATATTTTATTTATTTGTTAGAGACTTGTATATTGTCCTTCATCTGAAGATCTTAGGACGGTTCACGGTGTAAGAATTATGCAAGAGCTCCTCTATACTTGAGCCACATTTCAAGTATTGAGTGGGCATCTTGCTAGTGCTGTGTTGCAGACACATGGTTTTAAGAACTCAAAAGAGCTTAAAGAAAATCACCATGCTTTATTTGTAAAATATTACTGTCCATGATAAAAAAAAAAGTTGTTTTATGGAACGTATTTTTATCTCACCTTTCATCAACAGTACTGGGGCGGTTCACAACAATACAACACATTTTCAAGTAA